TGTCTCTTGGCAGCATTATCTAGTCATCTCCAAGCAGTATCTTACATTATGCCAAGACGATCTAGTCTTCTATTAGCAGTTTATAATCTTGCAGTTGTACATGGTCCTCTCCCTATAGTATCTAGTCTTCTGCAATCAGTAAGTAGTCTCCTAGCAGTAGTATCTAGTCTTCTATTAGCACTATATAGTCTTGCAGTCGTATATGATCTATACTTAAAGACAAATTATCATTATGAAGTTTTTCGTATCGTAGCTGCTTTAAACAATTATTCTCGTATGATATGCTTATTACCAAAATAAGTATAAAATCCTCAAAATTATGGAAGAAGATAGTTTTATTACAAATAAATTTTAAATTTTATTACTCGGAACTGAACCTACAACTGCGAAAAACCGTTATTTTTGTTGGAATGAAAATCGGAACTGAACCAATATATTTTTTTAATTATAACGAAAAAAATAACACTTGAAACCCTGGTTTTAACGATAATAGCCTACTAGTTCAAATTAGAATTACATATAGGTACAGGTTAAGTATGGTATACCTTGTGTACTATTGATTAACCGTTGGAATAGAGGAACAGTTGTAACAAGTATTTGTAACTATTACCTTTTAGGAACAGGAACATATTGTACCTATTCCCCAAAAATATAAGTTTATAACTACCACAAGTATAAACTACTACAAGTATCTAATCTACCACAAGCAGTATCAGTCCTCTGCCGACTGTATCTAGTCTTTTGCAATCAGGAACTAGTCTCCTGACTACTTCCTGAGTCTAGTCTTCTCCAAACAGTATATAGTTACGTTATGCCAAGACGATCTAGTCTTCTATTAGCTGAGCAATATATAGTCTTGCAGTTATACATATATGGTCCTTTCCCTATAGTATCTAATCTTCTGCAATCAGTAATTAGTCTCCTAGCAGCAGTATCTAATCTTCTATTAGCAGCATATAGTCTTGCAGTTGTATATGATTTTCTACTTATAGTATCTAATCTTCCATAAGCAGTATCGGTTCTTTGCCAACAGCATCTTGTCTTTTGCAATCAGGAAATCTCCTAGCAGCAATATCGAGTCTTCTCCAAGCAGTATCTTACGTTATGCTAAGACGATCTAGTCTTCTATTAGCAGTTTATAATCTTGCAGTTGTACATGGTCCTCTGCCTATAGTATCTAGTCTTCTATTAGCACTATATAGTCTTGCAGTCGTATATGATCTATAGTTAAAGACAAATTATCATTATGAAGTTTTTGGTATCGTAGCTGCTTTAAACAATTATTCTCGTATGGTACGCTTATTACCAAAATAAGTATAAAATCCTCAAAATTATGGAAGAAGATAGTTTTATTACAAATAACTTTTAAATTTTATTACTCGGAACTGAACCTACAACTGCGAAAAACCGTTATTTTTGTTGGAATGAAAATCGGAACTGAACCAATATATTTTTTTAATTATAACGAAAAAAATAACACTTGAAACCCTGGTTTTAACGATAATAGCCTACTAGTATTCAAACTAGAATTACATATAGGTACAGGTTAAGTATAGTATGCCTTGTGAACTATTGATTAACCGTTGGAACAGAGGAACAGTTGTAAGAAGTATTTGTAACTATTACCTTTTAGGAACAGGAACATATTGTACCTATTCCCCAAAAATATAAGTTTATAACTACCACAAGTATAAACTACTACAAGTATCTAATCTACCACAAGCAGTATCAGTCCTCTGCCAACAGAATCTAGTCTTTTGCAATCAGGAAGTAGTCTCCTGGCAACAATATCTAGTCTTCTCCAAGCAGTATCTTACGTTATGCCAAGACGATCTACTGTTCTATTAGCTTAGTACTATACAGTCTTACAGTTATACAGGATGATTTATTTCTCATGGCAAATAATGACTAACAGATGAAAAAAATTGTAGTAAAAGTTTTTAGTTTCCTAGATAGCCGATATAATTGACGACATCTAGATTACTTAAAAAGCCACGGAAGTTAATACTGAGCGAATATTGCAAAATCAGATACATGCTGCTGTCCAGACAATTCGCTAACACCCTGGTTAAGGCCGCGCTAGTGGGAGATCGTGGATTCGGGGAGCACAATTGATAGAAAATACGGGAAATAATTTCGAACACTTGCTGTGATGTTATTTTAAAATGTTCTATTTTTGTCGTGAGGAGTAAATCTCCAAGTTTATGCATATAGGTTGAGAATCATCCTGTATACCGTCCTTGGCCTATAGTATCTAATCTTCTGCAATCAGTAAGTAGTCTCCTAGCAGCAGTATCTAGTCTTCTCCAAGCAGTATCTTACGTTATGCCAAGACGATCTACTGTTCTATTAGCTAAGTACTATACAGTCTTACAGTTATACAGGATGATTTATTTCTCATGGCAAATAATGACTAACAGATGAAAAAAATTGTAGTAAAAGTTTTTAGTTTCCTAGATAGCCGATATAATTGACGACATCTAGATTACTTAAAAAGCATAGTGTACGCCACGGAAGTTAATACTGAGCGAATATTGCAAAATCAGATACATGCTGCTGTCCAGACAATTCGCTAACACCCTGGTTAAGGCCGCGCTAGTGGGAGATCGTGGATTCGGGGAGCACAATTGATAGAAAATACGGGAAATAATTTCGAACACTTGCTGTGATGTTGTTTTAAAATGTCTTCTATTTTGTCGTGAGGAGTAAATCCCCAAGTTTATGCATATAGGTTGAGAATCATCCTGTATATGGTCCTTTGCCTATAGTATCTAATCTTCTGCAATCAGTAAGTAGTCTCCTAGCAGCAGTATCTAGTCTTCTCTTAGCAGCATATAGTCTTGCAGTTGTATATGATTTTCTACTTATAGTATCTAATCTTCCATAAGCAGTATCGGTTCTTTGCCAACAGCATCTTGTCTTTTGCAATCAGGAAATCTCCTAGCAGCAATATCGAGTCTTCTCCAAGCAATATCTTACGTTATGCTGAGACGATCTAGTCTTCTATTGGCTATTTATAGTCTTGCAGTTGTATATGGTCCTCTGCCTATAGTATCCAGTTTTCTGGAAGCAATATTTTGTTCTAATCTTCCATCAACACCATTTAGTTTTCTACAAATAGTATCATAAAAGATGTGAGGATAACAGAAAAGTATGGGACATCCACTTCGAACGTATGGAAGTCTCCCAATAGTAAAGATTCCCCGATGGACCTTCTATACAATGGAGATGATGATTATTTAGTTATAGCAAAATAAAATTTTGTAATAATAAAAGAGAAATATTGTTACCAAAAACCCTAAAAGCTTTTACACAGATTTAAAATATCAAATTGTATATAAAGTGACACCGCATTTTCAATTTAAGGACTTTATTTATTTACATATTTTTTATTTATTTTTGAAATTCCTCCTTGTAGTTTCCGCGCGAATTGAAATTTATCGCCCCTTACGCGGATTTATGGGATCGATTTTTCATGTTTATGGCACGAGGAGAGCGGAATAAAAATCTACCCCCGATTTATCCTCTATATGGTTCGGTGTAATTTAAGCTTTCCTATCGAATAATCGCTTTTAGATTAGGGTTATAGGCGCAGTTCGTGACGAGAGATTAATATCTGCAAAAAAAAAAAACATTTCCATTTCGATTTTTTTTTGTAATCATCATTCACGATAATCCCATCAAAAAATTTCTCCCATTTCCTCTCTCTTTCTCTCCGCGTGGTGATCTACAACTTCGAAGATTTCGCTGCCCCACATTCCATTATGGTACGTAACATACTCTTCGTTATACAACTTCGACGCATGTCACGTTAGTTTCACTTTCAACATCATCATCAATAACAACAATAATGGAACACAACATTGGAAATTAATAAAAAAATCGTCTTTATAGCATATAATTAATAAATTAGAATTAAAACCTTGATAACATTTCTTTTTTTGCTCAACTTATCGAGTGTTCTAATTTTAAAACGTTAAAAGAACCGAGTAACCTCGATGCGTAATCGACTTTTAAACTCTTGACTCTAAAGTAAAGTAAACTTTAAAACTCTCCCTCTCTTTCTTCCGTCATTTATATTGTGTTTAAATCTCGTGTAGAATGTGTATCAAACGAGGAACCAGACGTGACGACAACGATAACATTCCCTCTCTCGGTTTTAGATGACGTTAAACTGGGTAAAGGAACGGGAAATGTTTTCAAAATGTAAATCTGGGACGAACTGGTGCGTATGGAAATGTGCAAAAAGTGTTAAGGTAGAGTTTGTTGGTTCTTTGCACGCGATTATTACAATGGTAAAGTGGGTTTCGTCCTTGGACGTTTGATAAAGAACTTTCGTTTTAATTCCCAGGGCAGATTCCCATAAAATTATTAAAAGAAACAATTTGTAATTTATTTCATCTATAATTAACCTACATTACTATGTACGCAAGAAAAAAAATAAAAAATCAACAAACAAGGTTTCAAATTTGAAATTCATGTAATTAGTCTTTGTCTAAAACGATTAAGTTTGAAGAAAATTAACGAAGAAAAAAATACACGATACATCAAGGTTAAAAGATGTAAATTTCAAACAAGTTTTTTCTTTTAATGATTTAATAATTTTCAATTTGTCATTTTGACGTTTAAATTCAATTTCCGAATAAACGTCAATATGACGTTTAAAATGTCAAATTATAAGTTTGAATTAAAATAAATTTTACTTATATAAAAATAATTAGTGTCATCAATAATTTTAATTAGTTTCTAATCGACCATATGATCGCAAAGAATTTATTTGCTGTCTTAAGAATCTTAAGATTCAAGATTGGAAACTCAGTGAATGTCCTTGTTCTCCGTAGAGGAACTTTCGCTCGATTCTATTATGCGAAAAGAACTGTCGTTGGCTTCAGGGACGATTTCATAATTAGGTCTGGTTTAGAAAACCTTAAAAATTCTTTTTTATATCTTAACCTCACTTTTTTTAAAAACAGTTTCTAAACATTTTTTGAATTACTTACCGAAATATGTGATCCCCCGATGAACTTGGAATTGTAGGGGAGCTTTCTATGGGACACTTTCCACAAGTCAAACGACGACGGCTGCACAATTTCAAACACTCCTCGGTCGTCGATCGCGGTAGCATTATTTTACAACCTGACCCGCTCGTTGTGTGACTCTCTCAGTAACCCCACACAACTAAAATAAATGTTAAACAAAAATATGACCAGACGAGAGAGAACAACAAAAAAAATAATTGATCGAAATCTTTTTCAACTGTGTATCCAGCGGGAACACATCGCAGCTTTTTTCCGGGGGAGTAAGAGCTTAATTTTGGGGACACCTACTTCACGGGGCTGTCAGATGCGAACTGACAGCTCCTACGATTTACACCGAATTGAACCGAAACATAGACGAATGTGTACCGTTTTATAGCGCCATCTAAATTTTTAACGTCAAACTATAGTTATTAAACAAAATTAACGTTAAAAATTTATTTTAAACCTCATATTTTATTTAAAATTATTGCGGAATAATCAAATTTTATTAATTTAAGAATAATTCCGATATAAAATCTAAATTAATCCAGTATAGCGCCATCTAACTTTTCGATTCAAACTAAAAGAAATTTCGTAATAATTGATATTTCAAAGATATTTATTTCTAATTTTATGACTTTTAAAGGAGTATGTAACTTTTTAATTCATTTTTAATCAATTAAAACAAATTAATTAATTAAATTTACTAAAATTAAGTTAAAAAGATTTGTTGTATATTGGGTTGCCTATATATTCAAGAAATATTAAAATTAATAATAAAAATCGGTAAAAATTGTTTAAATATAGGTTAATATACTTTATTTTGATTTTAAAACTGTTTTCTTTTCGATTTAAAGGAAAAATCACTTTTAGTTTTTGAGAAAATATTTTTTTAAGTTTATGTCAAATTTGTTTCAAATTTGGAGGTTAACATTTTGTATGAGTTAGTTTTAAAAAGCTGTATTAAATCGAATTTTTGGAAAATAATAATGGAAGTTTCGTAATATGTTTATAAAAGTGTCTTCTTTGCAGTAGAGAAAACCGTTGGGATAAATCACTTTTAGTTTTTGAGAAAAAAGTTTGTGTCAAATTTGGAGGTTAACATTTTTTACGGGTTAGTTTTAAAAAGCTGTATTAATCTATTTTTTAGAAAATAATAATGGAAGTTCCGTAATTTATTTATAAGCGTCTTCTTTGTAATAAAGAAAACCGTTGGGATGAATCACTTAGTTTTTGAGAAATAAATTTGTGTCAAATTTGGAGGTTAAGTTTTATGGGTTAGTTTTAAAAATCAATTTTTTTTTGGAAAATAAGAATACACATTTCGTAATTCATTAATGTAAGTGTGTCCTTTTCAGGAAAAGAAACCGTTTTAAAAAATTTTCTTGAAAAAAAGCATACATAGACAGTTTTTAAAAACAGTTTGAGAACATATGCACGATTTTATAAAACGGAAGTCGGAAGTTAGAGGACGATATCGCCGGTGGCATAACTTATTATATCTATCTTTTCCGTGTCAAAGTTGCGGAGAACTTTGAGAAACTTTCCGGCACACGTCGACTGACAATGAGACTTTGCGGATTCTTCGCTTACAATAGCTGCTTTGGCCCCTTCTAAAATATAGTTTTGCTTACGGGCGATGACACGATCTCCCCGATTTCGAGGACATTCGCCCCAAAAATGAAATACGTTTACTAAATTATCTTACGGATACAATTTGTCAAAGTTTTTAAAAGAATTCAAAAATGTCAGAAAAAAGCGATGACAATGAAACAGACGTTAAATCTCGCTCAAAGATTTCTTCAGCCGAATCAAATGTCTCGGATAAATCTCGTAATTTTAGTTTATCTCATCCCGGAAGTAGTCGAAGTTGTAGAAGCGGAAAAAGTAGTCGTTCAAGGTCACCGATTTTGTATAGTTCAAGTGAAAACGAATCCAAAGAGAACGAAATTGATGATTGGAATTCATTAAATCGGCAATATCTCCAAAAACTCGAAGATTACCAAAGAGAACAGAAATGTTACGAAGAAGAAATTAATAATTATTGTAGATTAATTCACAGCGCCCCTTTAACATTACAAAAAACTCAAAATAAAGTGTGTAATTTAAACGTTATCGATGAAATCGACGAAGAAAATGAAGAAGTTTATTTGTCAGATTCGATTAATAAAGAATCAATTTTTTTAAGTGAAGATGAAATTTTAATAACACCAAGACAAAAAGAAGTGCCGCCGAAAAAGATATGCATTCGCCCGAACACTCCGGTTATATTCACAAAAAATGTGTTATCACCACAAAGAAATGTTTCAACAGATTCAATTGAAAAACACGAATCACAACCGAATCAAAGGGTAAATATAGGAACGAAAACTTTTATTATTCGCAACACAAATGACGCTGAAAAGCGATCAATTTGTACGCAAGTTGAGAATTCAACATCTTTACCGCACTCGGTCGATGAAGATTCTTCATCTAACGTGACTTTAGAGCCGAATATTGTCGTTTTAAATAAATCACCTTGCAAAAATCTCAAAAATTGTAATAGTCCTAAAGGGGATGCTCCGGATTCTAACAAAACGAAGGGCAAAATAAAAAATAAAAAGAAAAATTTGACGAAAAAGAAGAGATCGTGGAGGGTTAAGAAGAATGCGGTCGATTGTAGGAAAAGTAACAGTTCATCAGAGGTAAATTTACATTAATACTGTATTTGCGGAATAATTTTTAAATAATCAATTGGCAATTAGTTTAATTAATCGTAAAATTAACAAAAAATAAATAAAACGATTTGCTTTTGTGCGATTATTCTCGTCGGCTAATTCATTAAAATCACCACAATAAATTATTTAAGTGGTGGAATATTCATGAGGATTCAATTTATATCCAACATCCGATAATTAATAGAATATTTCACAAAATAATAACAAATGAAATTAAGAATGATAATTATTTTAATAGGATTTTCATAAATAATCTCAAATTTTAACGTGAAACGTTTAAATTAATCCCAATGTAAATTTAAAGTTACTCTAATATTCGGGGTATTCCCCAAGTTGTCTATATGATATATAAATCAAGGACGGTAGTTCTAGCTTTAATTGTTATGCAGTGATACATTTTTGTATATTTTTTTTAACTAAAAGTAGAGCTAACACTAGATCTAGAACTAGAAACATTCAGGTTTAGCCGCACGTCTCTTAAGACACCCAAATCCGAATGATTCTAGTTCTAGGACTAGTGTTAGTTCTAGTGACACTTAGAATATGAGTATAAAAATTTCTCAAAGTGTTAATAAGAGTGTCCTCTTTCCAATAAACCAACACGTTTTGAAAAATAACTTTTAGTTTTTGAGAAAACAATATTTGAAGTTTTGATAAAATTTAAAATTTTCATCGATAATTTTCAAAATTCGCTATAAATTTAATTTTTTGAAAAATCTTTGTGGAAATATCACCAAATGTTATACTATGATGGCCAGTTTTAAGTTGATATAAGCTTAAACATTAAGCATCTTTCACAAACGACCTTGGCTTAATAACTACAACCTCGGGTGAGTTGTATGATTCTGGACGAATAAGCCGAGGNTATTCGCTTATTAAATTCGTTATTTTTTTCTGATTACAAAAATAGGTATCCCCTTTTTAATGCAAAAAGCCGTTTTGAAAAATCACTTTTAGTTTTTGAGAAATAAATTTTTGAAATGATCGACAATTTTTTCGAATTTTGCAATTTTCGCCAATTAAGTTTTAAAAATTCGTATTAAATCCACTTCTTGGAATATGAGTATGAAAATTTCTCAAAGTGTTAATAAGAGTGTCCTCTTTCCAATAAACCAACACAAATCACTATCCGTTCCATCACTAAAAATCGTCAACTTTGAAATATTCTAGAGCCTCGCCCGCAAGCGACCTCGGCGATTTGAGACAAAATCGTTCATTACATATTATCTTTTCCGTTACATCGAGGTTTTATTGTATTTTAATGCGATTGTCATAAATTATCGCAAATTTTAACCCTTATTTCTAAACTAATAACTTAATATTGTATATATTAAAAGGATTAAAATAAAATAAGGGGGCGTATCTGTTGCTTTAAACTTCTTCTTTGACACAATAGGGACTCGATTCGGATTCGAAACGTTGGATTTAAGGGACCGGAATTCGGATTAATGGGAACCGAACGAGATTAAAAATAAAACTCTCGTCGACGGGCGAGTTTGTTCCTCTTTTTATCCCGTTTTCCTATTTTTTTGTTTTACTTTTCTGTTCTATACGTCTAAATTAAATTTCTTTTTTCAGATTTCGCTAAATTCACCAAAAAACTTGAACGTTTTTCTCACCCAACCAATTCAAGATAAAAATCGTTTACAATTTTCAATCTCAAACGATAACCTTAAAACGAACACCCCGGTATCATCGAAAAACTCTCAAGACATCGAATTAAAACGGGATGATTATTTAAATAAAGAGTATTGTAAAGAGATATTGGGCGATTTCCGGTTAGGAGAGGAAATCGCGATAAATTTCAATGATCTCGATTTAAATGAAGACACGTTTAAAATGAAAGGATTGGAATTGATAAAAACGCCGGGTTTGTTGGTGTTAAAACCTATTGGTATTCAAAACGAGATGGTTTCAGGAAACGAAACAAACGGAGAAAACAAAATTAAACCATTGGTGGAGTCGAGAAGACATCAGAACGTTGATATGGAATTTTACGATGTCTCCAACATCTCCACCGTCACTTCCCCGAGGGTGTCTTTACGGTGGAATGAGATTTTTACTCCCAATCTTAAACTCGATTGTAAGGATAATGAAGATTTAGGTTGTATTTGTTTAAAATGTTTTAAGAAAAAAAAATAAATAATTAAAAAACATTTAAATCTTCTTCTTGGACAGTTTCAAGAAGAACTAAGTACCAAGAGATTATGTATCGCTTAAAATTTATGACCTAAGAATGGAAACGCATTGAGTGTGTTTAAAGTCGAAAGTCAAACCTCATTAAACGCCGGTCAAAATTTGGTCTCGTGTTAAAACGAGATAACTAACTTTTCAAGTAGTTTCGTACCTCGAAACCTTAATAACACCTTTATAAAAACATCCAAAATTCATTTTTAATTAAAAAAATGATTATTTTCATTGTTAATTTCACATTTCCGTTACATAATTTGATACTCCAACGAACAAACATCCCATTATTCGGGAAATGTGGATTATAATCCGATATCACGAGGACCAATTCGTTGGGAGGGGTAGGTTTCGATAAAGTTATTGTCCGGGCATAAATTAACATATAAATTCTATATCGAGAGATAATCACAAAAGCGTAATCGAGACCGCTTTATGTTTTCACCGAAAATTGGGTTGAAAACCCGATTTTATTAAATTGACTATATTTTTTTAGATACAAAACTTAATTTATTAACCCATTCTGTATCAAAAACATGTTTTTATTACAACCCGTGGTAAATTTCAAGTAAAATCCACCTGGAAATCAACCCACAAACTGAGCAGGCGCTAAAATATCGAACGAATTTTAGTTTGAAAACGAGATGCTGGGCGTGAAAATCAACTGGAACCAACCCTGATGAAGCAAAAAAGATTTATGTAGTTATAAAAAGAAAAGATTATGTGGAGAACACAATTAGCATTGTTGGTGTGTTTAATAAGTTTTTGCCATGTCACTAAAGGTAAGCATTCAACACTTTATTGAACTAATTTATCACTTAATTCTATATTTTAGGTGCTATTGAACAAATAGAAGCAAATCCCGACGCTAAAAGACTTTATGATGACCTATTAAGCAATTATAACAGACTTATTCGACCCGTTGGGAATCACACCGAAACTTTAACAGTTTATTTGGGGCTAAAATTATCTCAATTAATCGAAATGAATTTGAAAAACCAAATTATGACCACAAATTTATGGGTGGTACAGGTAAAAAAATATATTTGACATTTATGTCAAATTTGACATTCAATTATCAAATTAGACTAAATCATTTTGATTTAATAATTTAAAAATTTCTCAACATCACTTTAATTTGTTATGAATCAAAAATGTTTTAAAAATTTTAATCAATATTTCAATTTTAAATTTTATTTAAATTTAAATATTGACAATTATTTAATTTTCTATTTGACGTTTAAATGTCAAATTTGACATTTACAATTTTTTAATATAACTTTTTAATCCAAACGGATTTTTTAATAGTTTCGTACTCAATATTTATTAACATCGACGTGTTTGTCGTAAAATTTGAATGAAGGTAATAAAATTCGAGAAATGTCTGTAAATATCAGAAAATATCAAATTTAATGTCTCGGGGATTAAATTCCGAACGATTTGTTTCGTATCGTTGCAGGATGTTGTACTTGAGTTTATTGTCATTCGTCTAATATTAGGATTTGTGTACAAATATTTCAGTTTTAGGAATGAGAATTGTTTTCATATATATTTTTCTTAACTTCGCGTTTGGTAACAATCAAACAACTTTAAGTGTTAACATCAAAATCATTGATTAATTGATTAAATTTACACTTTTTTGATCTTATAAGATTATAAATGGATATTTTGAATTATATTTATATTCCTTCAAATACACAAACACTTCCTGCATTATCGACTATATAATATTATTTCCTTATCGCTAGATGGAGACAAAAACACCTAATTCTATAATGTTAGAAGTACTTTCAACTTTATCGGTTATAAAGTTTGATAATTCCCCTAAATTTTAACATAACTTCTCCATATCCATCCCAAAACTAACTCGATGATTAAAATTTATAATCACCTTCATTTCGAACTCCTCACAGAAATGGAACGACTACAAGTTGCGATGGAACCCGGAGGAATACGGCGGAGTTGAGATGCTTTATGTTCCATCTGAACATATTTGGTTGCCTGATATAGTTCTTTTTAATAAGTAAATTCAAATAAATTTGATTACCAAATAGTGATGATTTAAATTTTGCAGTGCCGATGGAAATTATGAAGTAACTTTGATGACAAAGGCTACTTTAAAGTATACGGGGGAAGTTGAATGGAAACCACCCTCGATTTACAAGTCCAGTTGTGAGATCAACGTCCAGTATTTTCCTTTCGACGAACAGAGTTGTCTTATGAAGTTTGGCTCATGGACTTATAACGGATTACAGGTATTAAAGGAAGGGGGTAGAACTTTACGAGGTTATCAAGGAGGATTATAGAGGGTTTCAAGTTTACGGGGTCTTAATTTCTTAACAACAAAGAAATTTGCATTAAATAACTCTATTTTTTTTAATTTGATGATGAAAATGATTTAATTTTTGAATTGTGTGTATATTGGGTTGCATAACTTTTCGCATTTTTCTTTTTAGGTTGATTTAAAACATATCAATCAAAAAGAAGGAAGCAATCGCGTTAACATCGGTATTGATTTATCAGAATTTTATTTATCGGTTGAATGGGATATTTTAGCAGTCCCAGCGACGCGAAATGAAGAATATTACCCGTGTTGCCCCGAGCCATTTTCAGGTTAAACATTTTTGTATCAAATTCTTTATTGTAACTTTTTTTGTTGTAGATATAACATTTAAAATAACAATGCGAAGAAAAACGTTATTTTACACCGTAAATCTAATAATCCCCTGCGTTGGAATAACGTTTTTAACAGTCCTAGTTTTTTATCTTCCATCAGATTCTGGAGAAAAAATGACTCTGTGCGTTTCAATTTTGCTTTCTTTGACAGTGTTTTTCCTTTTATTAGCCGAAATTATCCCACCAACTTCTTTGGCTGTTCCACTTTTAGGAAAATATTTGCTCTTTACGATGATTTTGGTTACTTCTTCGATTTGGGTTACGGTTTGTGTCTTAAACGTTCATTTCAGGTAATTAAATTTATTTATTATTTATATTTTTCATTTTTTTGAATCTGGTTATCATTCTTTCCATTTACTTCGATTCTCCTTTTTTTGCTCCCGACGCTACCAGAAGATAGCGCTAGTTAGCATAAAATATCACTATGTTACATATTTTTACTGAACTAAAACTAGAACTAACACTAGACCTAGAACTAGAAAGTATTGGGTTTAGCCGCACGTCTCTCAATACGGCTAAACCCAATACTTCTTTCTATGAGATATGATTGTTTTAAATTAAATTTTATAAATCTAACCTGTCATAAGTGAATTAAAAAAATCATAACTTCCAAATTAGTAGAAATAAAGAAATAATTTTTGATACATTAAATATTAATTAAATTTGCTTTAAAATGGTTTTTATTTCATGGTGATATCTCAATTCGTTGTTGAGATATGATTTTTTTAATTTCATTTTTGACAAGTTAACCTCAATAACAACACTGAGTTGATTTAAAAATCTTATCACCGGGATTTATAGGAACGAAGGAATTATTTTTGGTGTGTTAAAACTAGATTAAATTTACTACAAAATGGCTTTTAAATCATCTTAATATCTCAATTAGTCTTTGAGATATGATTCTTTTAAATTAAATTTTATAAATCTAACCTGTCATAAGTGAATTAAAAAAATCATAACTTCCAAATTAGTAGAAATAAAGAAATAATTTTTGATACATTAAATATTAATTAAATTTGCTTTAAAATGGTTTTTATTTCGTGGTGATATCTCAATTCGTTCTTGAGATATGATTTTTTTAATTTCATTTTTGACAAGTTAACCTCAATAACAACACTGAGTTGATTTAAAAATCTTATCACCGAGATTTATAGGAACGAAGGAATTATTTTTGGTGTGTTAAAACTAGATTAAATTTACTACAAAATGGCTTTTAAATCATCTTAATATCTCAATTAGTCTTTGAGATATGATTCTTTTAAATTAAATTTTATAAATCTAACCTGTCATAAGTGAATTAAAAAAATCATAACTTCCAAATTAGTAGAAATAAAGAAATAATTTTTGATACATTAAATATTAATTAAATTTGCTTTAAAATGGTTTTTATTTCGTGGTGATATCTCAATTCGTTCTTGAGATATGATTTTTTTAATTTCATTTTTGACAAGTTAACCTCAATAACAACACTGAGTTGATTTAAAAATCTTATCACCGAGATTTATAGGAACGAAGGAATTATTTTTGGTGTGTTAAAACTAGATTAAATTTACTACAAAATGGCTTTTAAATCATCTTAATATCTCAATTAGTCTTTGAGATATGATTCTTTTAAATTAAATTTTATAAATCTAACCTGTCATAAGTGAATTAAAAAAATCATAACTTCCAAATTAGTAGAAATAAAGAAATAATTTTTGATACATTAAATATTAATTAAATTTGCTTTAAAATGGTTTTTATTTCGTGGTGATATCTCAATTCGTTCTTGAGATATGATTTTTTTAATTCCATTTTTGACAATTTAACCTCAATAATAACACTGAGTTGATTTAACAATCTTATCACCCTGATTTATGGGACCGAAGAAATTATTTTTGGTGTGTTAAAACTAGATTAAATTTACTACAAAATGGCTTTTAAATCATTTTAATATCTTAATGAGTCTTTGAGATATGATTCTTTTAAATTAAAGTTTATAAATCTAACCTGACATAAGTAAATTAAAAAAATTATAACTTACAAATTAGTAGAAATAAAGAAATAATTTTTGATACATTAAATATTAATTAAATTTGCTTTAAAATGGTTTTTATTTCATGGCGATATCTCAATTCGTTCTTGAGATATGATTTTTTTAATTTCATTTTTGACAAGTTAACCTCAACAACAACATTGAGTTGATTCAAAAATCGTAACACCGGGATTTATAGGAACGAAGGAATTATTTTCGGTGCGTTAAAACTAGATTAAATTTACTGCAAAATGGATTTTAAATCACCTTAATATCTCAATTAGTCTTTGAGTTATAATTCTTTGAAATTAAATTTTATAAATCTGTTTTAGTGAATTAAAAAAATCATAACTTCCAAATTTGTAGAAATAAAGAAATAATTTTTGATACATTGAATATTAATTAAATTTGCTTTAAAATGGTTTTTATTTCGTGGTGATATCTCAATTCGTTCTTGAGATATGATTTCTTTAATTTCATTTTTGACAAACTAACCTCAATAACAACACTGAGTTGATTTAAAAATCTTATCACCGAGATTTATAGGAACGAAGGAATTATTTTTGGTGTGTTAAAACTAGATTAAATTTACTACAAAATGGCTTTTAAATCATCTTAATATCTCAATTAGTCTTTGAGATATGATTCTTTTAAATTAAATTTTATAAATCTAACCTGTCATAAGTGAATTAAAAAAATCATAACTTCCAAATTAGTAGAAATATAGAAATAATTTTTGATACATTAAATAGTAATTAAATTTGCTTCAAAATGGTTTTTATTTCGTGGTGATATCTCAATTCGTTCTTGAGATATAATTTTTTTAATTTCATTTTTGACAAGTTAACCTCAATAACAACACTGAGTTGATTTAAAAATCTTATCATCGAGATTTATAGGAACCAAGGAATTATTTTTGGTGTGTTAAAACTAGATTAAATTTACTGCAAAATGGATTTTAAATCATCTTAATATCTCAATTAGACTTTGAGATATGAGTGTTTGAAATTAAATTTTATAAATCTAACCTGTCATAAGTGAATTAAAAAGATCATAACTTCCAAATTAGTAGAAATAAAGAAATAATTTTTGATACATTAAATATTAATTAAATTTGCTTTAAAATGGTTTCTATTTCGTGGTGATATCTCAATTCGTTCTTGAGATATGATTTTTTTGACAAGTTAACCTCAATAACAACACTGAGTTGATTTAAAAATCTTATCACCGGGATTTATAGGAACGAAGGAATTATTTTTGGTGTGTTAAAACTAGATTAAATTTACTACAAAATGGCTTTTAAATCATCTTAATATCTCAATTAGTCTTTGAGATATGATTCTTTAAATTAAATTTTATAAATCTAACCTGTCATAAGTGAATTAAAAAAATCATAACTTCCAAATTAGTAGAAATAAAGAAATAATTTTTGATACATTAAATATTAATTAAATTTGCTTTAAAATGGTTTTTATTTCGTGGTGATATCTCAATTCGTTCTTGAGATATGATTTTTTTAATTTCATTTTTGACAAGTTAACCTCAATAACAACACCGAGTTGATTTAAAAATCTTATCATCGAGATTTATAGGAACGAAGGAATTATTTTTGGTGTGTTAAAACTAGATTAAATTTACTACAAAATGGTTTTTAAAGCATCTTAATATCTTAATTAGTCTTTGAGATATGATTCTTTTAAATTAAATTTTATAAATCTAACCTGTCATAAGCGAATTAAAAAAATCATAACTTCCAAAGTAGTAGAAATAAAGAAATAATTTTTGATACATTAAATATTAATTAAATTTGCTTCTAAATGGTTTTCATTTCGTGGTGATATCTCAATTCGTTCTTGAGATATAATATTTTTAATTTCATATTTGACAAGTTAACCTCAATAACAACACTGAGTTGATTCAAAAATCGTAACACCGGGATTTATAGGAACGAAGGAATTATTTTTGGTGTGTTAAAACTAGATTAAATTTACTACAAAATGGCTTTTAAATCACCTTAATATCTCAATTAGTCTTTGAGATATGATTCTGTTAAATTAAATTTTATAAATCTAACCTGTCATAAGTGAATTAAAAAAATCATAACTTCCAAATTTGTAGAATTAAAGAAACAATTTTTGATACATTAAATATTAATTAAATTTGCTTTAAAATAGTTTCTATTTCGTGGTGATATCTCAATTCGTTCTTGAAATATGATTTTTTTAATTTCATTTTTGACAAGTTAACCTCAACTACAACATTGAGTTGATTCAAAAATCGTAACACCGGGATTTATAGGAACGAAGGAATTATTTTTGGTGTGTTAAAACTAGATTAAATTTACTACAAAATGGTTTTTAAATCATCTTAATATCTCAATTAGACTTTGAGATATGAGTGTTTGAAATTAAATTTTATAAATCTAACCTGTCATAAGTGAATTACAAAAATCATAACTTCCAAATTAGTAGAAATAAAAAAATCATTTTTGGTACAGTAAACATTAATTAAATTTGCTTTAAAATGGTTTTTATTTCGTGGTGATATCTCAATTCGTTGTTGAGATACGATTTTTTTAATTTCATTTTTGACAAGTTAACCTCAATAACAACACTGAGTTGAATTAAAAATCGTATCACCGGGATTTATAGGAACGAAGGAATTATTTTTGGTGTGTTAAAACTAGATTAAATTTACTACAAAATGGGTTTTAAATCATCTTAATATCTCAATTAGTCTTTGAGTTATAATTCTTTGAAATTAAATTTTATAAATTCGTTTTAAGTGAATTAAAAAAATCATAACTTCCAAATTTGTGGAAATAAAGAAACAATTTTTGATACATTAAATATTAATTAAATTTGCTTTAAAATGGTTTTTATTTCGTGGTGATATCTCAATTCGTTCTTGAGATATGATTTTTTTAATTTCATTTTTGACAAGTTAACCTCAACAACAACATTGAGTTGATAGTAACTTGGCTAAACCCGAATGTTTCTAGTTCTAAGTCTAGTGTTAGTTCTAGTTTTAATTGTTATTCAGCGTTAGTAGCGTATTTTTTAATTAATTATGTTTTTTTGATATTTGTTTTAAATTTAAGATCACCCTCAACTCATAAAATGTCACCGTGGGTTCGAAAAATTTTCTTGGAATGGATGCCAAGGATGTTAATAATGCGAAGAACAACGTATTCATTACCAGAATACGACGATAATCAACCCCCGAGAGGTTTTACAACGAGCGAATTAGATATGCAATTAAACATGGGTGATCCTTTTACTTCCGATTTTAAAATTACAACGAGAGAACCCAGTTTTGTTTTACAAAATCAAGATCAAGATGATAAAATTAAAGCGCACTCTTCAAGTTGGTTAATTAATTTGGTATTTTCTTTTTTGATTAGAAATTATTTTGTTTTAGTGACTTGCTCTTCTACAATAACACCTAAAATTCTTTCCGCTAACGTTTTGGCAGCTTTGGAAGGTGTTCGGTTTATTGCCCAACATATTAGGGATGCCGATAAAGATAATGAGGTACAAAAACTTTGTTAATATTCATTTTTGATTATCATTTTTTGTTGTAGATCGTTGAAGATTGGAAATTCGTTTCGATGGTTTTAGATCGCTTTTTCCTGTGGGTTTTTACTTTAGCTTGTATCGGTGGAACTTGTGGGATAATTTTTCAAGCTCCTTCGTTATACGATACAAGAGTTCCCGTTGATCAACAATTAACTAATATCCCAATTTCGAAAATATTCCAATTACCCCCTTCTCACATCCCCATAAACACTTTATAAGGAATTATCAGTATTTATTCCTTAAGTAGAATAAATTAAGATCGTTATGGAATAATAATTTTTTTATTAGCCTCCCACAGAAGCGATAACAACGCTTAAAATCGGACTCATTTTAAAATATGTTCCTAAAAAAGATATTGTTTATAAATCTATTTGGTTTTATTGTTGCATTGCGTAAGTTATTTTTAATTTAGCCTTTTAAACTAAATTTATTCATCATTTTGATTTAGCCCCGGCGATAAAACCATGTTTTAAATCAAAAATGGTCTCAAATAAATGTTTACAAAAAAATATACCCTACATAATCTCAAAATTGGGAGCAAAAGGCTACAAAAATCTTGGAATCCCACCGTTAGACCCACTCATTCTATCAGAACCCATCATTTACGACATCCCTTTAGGAGTTAAAACCAATCTTACACTAAACAACATTCAAATAATCGGCCTTTCAAAAGTCAATTTAAAAAACGTACGATTTAGTTTGAGAAGAAATAAATTAAAGCTACGTTTAAGATATCCCACATTAAATACCACCCTAAATTACGATATTGATGGATTTTTAACTGGATGTGGTTCGATTCAATTAAATTTAAGTAAGTCGTTTTAATTAATATTATTAAAATTATTTAATTTTTCCTTTAAGAAAACGTCGATGTCGCTTTAAAACTGAATTTGGATATTTTAAAATACGGAAAAGAATTTATTAAATTACCCAAAACGATTCGTAAAGGCCAAGATATTTTTGCGACAAGAATCGGTGACGCCGAAATTAAATTTGATGGTTTAATTGAAGATGAGATATTACAACAAGGTTTTAATCGAATTTTAAACGATTATTTTTTGGGTTTATATCATTCAACGAAAGAAGGAGTCATGCTGATGCTTTGGGATGTTTTGTACAATTTCATTCAACCAATTTTGGATAAAACACCGCTTGATTTAAACGATTAAAAAATTCTTAATCTAACAAGATTACATAAAAAGTTTAAATAGATCTTATTTATTCAAAAATCCTTCAATTCTCAAACAAATCCTTTCGAATCCTACGTTCTCAATGCCATGGAATAAGAATGTAATTCTTATTCAGTTCAGTACAAGAAATTTTCCTTCAACCACATAAGAAAAGAAAATGTTTTTTATAAAATCGAATACGTTACTTTTATTAACTCTAAACTTATTTTTATTTATTATTTGTGAAAAACTACGTAAGTTTATTTTAACAAAATTAAGAAACAAATTGAGTCGAATTTTTTAGCTGATTATTTCAAAATTTGCGATCGAAACGATCCGGATTTAAACGATTGCATTTTGAAGGCATCGAAAAGGGTGGTGCCGCTTTTGGTTAAAGGAATCGATTATTTAAATGTACCAGAACTATCGCCTTTAAAAGTACCGGAAATCGATTTGGATCAGGGGGATAATCTAAATTTAAAATTGATTAATGTCACTGTGAGTGGGTTGGAAGGGGCTGATTTAAGAGATATCGAGTGAGAAACATTAAAAGATTTGAGCAAATTTGTTTAATTCGTAATCAATTTAATCTTTTAGTGCAAATTTAACAAAAAGATTCATAAAAAGTGAAATTCATTTCGATGAGATCGTTTTTGAAAGTTTTTATGAAGTTAAAGGAAGAGTTATTATTCTGCCCATTAACGGAAATGGAACTGCAAATATTAAATTTGGTAAATAAATTAATTTATTTTCTTTAAAAAGTCAAATTTAAACGTCATTTATTGTATGACATTAATGACAGCTGTCAGTTATGACTTACGTGTTGATTACCGTTAGTTCGCCAATATGGCCGCAAAGAAACGAATATGATTGGTTGGGGGATAAAAAGGCGGGAAAATTGCTTTATTTAAATAAATTAATGTGTAAACTTTCTTTTGAGCGAAAGAACTTTTAAGTTTTTCTATACGAAGTAAATTTCTTGTTTACTCAAGGGCTTAAGTTTAAATTTTCTAAACTTAACCCGTCATAAGTGAATTAAAAAATCATAACTTCCAAATTTGTAGAAATAAAGAAATAATTTTTGATACATTAAATATTGATTAAATTTGCTTTAAAATGGTTTTTATTTCGTGGTAATATCTCAATTCGTTCTTGAGATATGATCTTTTTAATTTCATTTTTGACAAGTTAAGCTCAATAACAACACTGAGTTGAATTAAAAATCATATCACCGAGATTTATAGGAATGAAAGAATTATTTTTAGTGTTTTAAAACTAGATTAAATTTACTACAAAATGGCTTTTAAATCATCTTAATATCTCAATTAGTCTTTGAGATATGATTCATTTAAATTAAATTTTATACGTCTAACCTGTCATTAGTGAATTAAAAAAATCATAACTTCCAAATTTGTAGAAATAACGAAATAATTTTTGATACATTAAATATTAATTAAATTTGCTTTAAACTGGTTTTTATTTCATGGTGATATCTCAATTTGTTCTTGAGATATGATTTTTTTAAATTTCATTTTTGACAAGTTAACCTCAATAACAACACTGAGTTGATTTAAAAAACGTATCACCGGGATTTATAGGAACGAAGGAATTATTTTTGGTGTGTTAACACTAGATTAAATTTACTACAAAATGGGTTTTAAATCATCTTAATATCTCAATTAGTCTTTGAGTTATAATTCTTTGAAATTAAATTTTATAAATTCGTTTTAAGTGAATTAAAAAAATCATAACTTCCAAATTTGTGGAAATAAAGAAATAATTTTTGATACATTAAATATTAATTAAATTTGCTTTAAAATGGTTTTTATTTCGTGGTGATATCTCAATTCGTTCTTGAGATATGATTTTTTTAATTTCATTTTTGACAAGTTAACCTCAACAACAACATTGAGTTGATTCGAAAATCGTAACACCGGGATTTATAGGAACGAAGGAATTATTTTTGGTGTGTTAACACTAGATTAAATTTACTACAAAATGGGTTTTAAATCATCTTAATATCTCAATTAGTCTTTGAGTTATAATTCTTTGAAATTAAATTTTATAAATTCGTTTTAAGTGAATTAAAAAAATCATAACTTCCAAATTTGTGGAAATAAAGAAATAATTTTTGATACATTAAATATTAATTAAATTTGCTTTAAAATGGTTTTTATTTCGTGGTGATATCTCAATTCGTTCTTGAGATATGATTTTTTTAATTTCATTTTTGACAAGTTAACCTCAACAACAACATTGAGTTGATTCGAAAATCGTAACACCGGGATTTATAGGAACGAAGGAATTATTTTTGGTGTGTTAACACTAGATTAAATTTACTACAAAATGGGTTTTAAATCATCTTAATATCTCAATTAGTCTTTGAGTTATAATTCTTTGATATTAAATTTTATAAATTCGTTTTAAGTGAATTAAAAAAATCATAACTTCCAAATTTGTGGAAATAAAGAAATAATTTTTGATACATTAAATATTAATTAAATTTGCTTTAAAATGGTTTTTATTTCGTGGTGATATCTCAATTCGTTCTTGAGATATGATTTTTTTAATTTCATTTTTGACAAGTTAACCTCAACAACAACATTGAGTTGAATTAAAAATCTTATCACCGGGATTAATAATAATGAAGGAACTATTTTTGGTGTGCTAAAACTAGATTAAATTTACTACAAAATGGCTTTTAAATCATCTTAATATCTCAATTAGTATTTGAGATATAATTTTTTTAAATTTATTATTTTAGATGACGTCTTGGTTTATTTTGCTTTCAATTACGATTTAGTCGAAAACAACGGTGAGAAATACGTTAATTTTACCCAAGTGGATTTGAAGTATGAATTAAAAAGAGCTTATTATAAGCTGGATAATTTATTTAACGGGGATAAGTTTTTGGGTAAACATTTTTGATTTAAAAAATTGTTTTTAATGACATTATTTTTAGGTGATGAAATGAATAAGTTTATAAATGATAATTGGAGCACTTTGCATCAAGATTTCGCCCCAATCATTTCAGAAACCATTAAGAATATTATCGTGGATATCTTGAAGGATGTCGCCAAACTTATTCCGTATCAAAACATTTTTTCTGGGATTTCCCCAACGAAGTAATTAATAATTATTTTAATTATATTAACGATTAGTAGATTTTCATATCATATTATTTTATCTTTAATTATTGATATTTTCGTTTTAAACAATAAGAAATTTTACGATTTAATAAATTTTTTATAACCCAACCCACTCTCCCATAACAACCTTACTTTACTTAAATGTTTTATTTTAATTCGATCAATTTTTAATCAGAATATGAGCAATTTATTTAAACAATTTTTGTTTTTCCTCCTTTTCAATTTCACGTTCTCTGAATTACGTAAGTACTTTATATTAATTATCGATTAAAAACAAAAAATCGTTTTATTTTAAGCCCCTTTCATAACGCCATGTTCAAAAAGCAACCCGCTTCTTCAATACTGCATAATGCATCAAATTCCGCGTATAATGCAGGTTTTAAAACATGGTTACCCTCCGATGGGGTTTTTACCTTTGGATCCGTTGTTGTTGGAAGCGGTGGAGATTCCGCACGATACGATCAATTTTGAAATAAAAAATCTCCAAATAAATGGCTTGTCGAAGGTTAAAATTGAATATCTTTACGCTAATCCGCTAAAGAGTTCTTTGGAATTAAGACTACGATTTCCTCAACTTAGTTTGCAAGGATTTTATCGGTTAAAAGGTCCAATTTATTACTTTAATATCGATTCATTTGGACCGGCCGCAATGTCTTTTGGTAAAAATCATTTATTCATCAAAATAAAATTTATAAAACTCTCATTTTAGGAGATGTCGTTATCCACATGGTTATTAATTTTGAATTGGTCGAAATCGGGGATGAAATCTTCTACAAAATGCCTTTAAAACCAGACGATGGGCAAACTATGAATGTGGACATTAAAAAAGCTAACGTGTATTTCGGAAATTTGATTCCGAACGATCCAATTTTAAACGATCGGGTAAACGAGATGATCAGGCGAACTTTCTTCGAGGCATTTCAAAACGTTAAACCGTGGGTAATCTCGGTTCTTTGGGAAGTTTTTAGGATCATATCCCATCCTTTCCTACATAACGTGAATATCGATGAAATGTTTGACGAATAAAAGATAAATAATCTTTAAACAATTTTTATTTCATCTTAAATATCTCATCTACAGGGACAAAAGCTAACAATTTAAAGAATAATTTGTGTAGGTTGTGTTTGAGAACGTCCAAAACGCCTGGTCGCATTACTTGGAATAAATCATCGAAATTATCGTTAATAAACTTATTAACAATCGTTCCTAAAACAGGTTCCGACGGGAATAAGTTTTCAAACTCAACGGAAACCCCCGAAAAAGTGATTCCTGCATCGAAAGCTCTTGGTAACAACAAATACGGAATTGAATCCCTTTGGATCGTACTCATTGGCATTTTCACATTTAAAATAACATCATCTAAAACACAAAAATTAAAGATTAAGAAATAAAATCGATTTTTCTCACCAAAAACCATCGATGTATAACCAGAACTATTAACTTGCGCTACAAAAAGAAATCCTAATAACTTATAATACCCCACGATTGTAATCTTTTTAAAATGAATCGACATTTGCAAATTATTTTCGGTGTTATTAATCTTAAGCCGCATAAAACTACAATCGGATAAACCGGAAATTGTAAGATTGTGTAAAGAAAAAATGAAATCATCGTGTAAGGATAAATGTAAAAGATCCAATTGCAACGGGTCCAAAGGGGGAATTTCTAATTCATTACTTCCATCTTTTAAGGTGTTAACAACGGTTTTCGTTTGCGAAAGAAGGCAATCGTTTAAACGATCTTCTTCCCCAAGCATATTCGGACATGGTTGTATAAAATTAGCTAAAAATAATCTAAAAATACTTATTCATATAAAATTTACCAAAACCTACGCAATTTCGATGATTTAATTTCATGCAAAGAATTTAGAAATAACAAAAATAATAACAACATGATTCGATTGATTCAATCGAGTTAATTAACACACTGAAGCGAAAAAAAAATTAATTATAAGTGTAGGATGTTTTTTTTTAAGTACTTTTTGTTATAACTTTTTTATTATCGTGATTCATTATAAAAATTATCCATGTTATCAACAGTTTCTGCGTTAGATTCAACGCTATTATTACTGAATTTAATCGGTTTAACCGATTTTTTGAACTTTAAAAAGAACTCGATCTCTTCTCGCATCTCCTCTTTAAATTTGGTTTCTTCTTTTTTCGACCTTTTATAGGATTTAAAAGTTATCTCGACAAAAACCATCAATAAACCCATAAAAGTTCCTACTCCGAGTACCAAAAAAACTCCTCCAACGTTCTGCAAAGTTAATGCGGTGACAGCTCCTTTAGAAACAACACTCTAAATCAAAAAANTAAATATTAATTAAATTTGCTTTAAAGTGGTTTTTATTTCGTGGTGATATCTCAATTCGTTCTTGAGATATGATCTTTTTAATTTCATTTTTGACAAGTTAACCTCAATAAGAACACTGAGTTGATTTAAAAATCTTATCACCGGTATTTATAGGAACGAAGGAATTATTTTTGGTGTGTTAAAACTAGATTAAATTTACTACAAAATGGGTTTTAAATCATCTTAATATCTCAATTAGTCTTTGACATATAATTCTTTGAAATTAAATTTTATAAATCTAACCTGTTTTAAATGAATTAAAAAAATCATAACTTCCAAATTTGTGGAAATAAAGAAATAATTTTTGATACATTAAATAGTGATTAAATTTGCTTTAAAATGGTTTTTATTTCGTGGTGATATCTCAATTCGTTCTTGAGATATGATTTTTTAATTTCATTTTTGACAAGTTAACCTCAATAACAACACTGAGTTGAATTAAAAATCTTATCACCGGGATTTATAGGAACGAAGGAATTATTTTTGGTGTGTTAAAACTAGATTAAATTTACTACAAAATGGCTTTTAAATCATCTTAATATCTCAATTAGTCTTTGAGATATGATTCTTTGAAATTAAATTTTATAAATTTAACCTGTGTTAAATGAATTAAAAAAATCATAACTTCCAAATTAATAGAAATAAAGAAGTAATTTTTGATACATTAAATATTAATTAAATTTGCTTTAAAATGGTTTTTATTTCGTGGTGATATCTCAATTCGTTCTTGAGATATGATCTTTTTAAATTTCATTTTTGACAAGTTAACCTCAATAACAACCCTGAGTTGAATTAAAAATCGTATCACCGGGATTTATAGGAACGAAGGAACTATTTTTGGTGTGCTAAAACTAGATTAAATTTAATACAAAATGGCTTTTAAATCATCTTAATATCTCAATTCGTTTTTGAGATATAATTCTTTGAAATTAAATTTTATAAATTTAACCTGTGTTAAATGAATTAAAAAAATCATAGCTTCCAAATTAATAGAAATAAAGAAATAATTTTTGATACATTAAATATTAATTAAATTTGCTTCAAAATGGTTTTTATTTCGTGGTGATATCTCAATTCGTTCTTGAGATATAATCTTTTTAATTTCATTTTTGACAAGTTAACCTCAATAACAACACTGAGTTGATTTAAAAATCGTATCACCGGGATTTATAGGAACGAAAGAATTATTTTTGGTGTGTTAAAACTGGATTAAATTTACTACAAAATCGCTTTTAAATCATCTTAATATCTCAATTAGTCTTTGAGTTATAATTCTTTGAAATTAAATTTTATAAATCTAACCTGTTTTAAGTGAATTAAAAAAATCATAACTTCCAAATTTGTAGAAATAAAGAAATAATTTTTGATACATTAAATATTAATTAAATTTGCTTTAAAATGGTTTTTATTTCGTGGTGATATCTCAATTCGTTCTTGAGATATGATTTTTTTAATTTCATTTTTGACAAGTTAACCTCAATAACAACACTGAGTTGATTTAAAAATCTTATCACCGGGATTTATAGGAACGAAGGAATTATTTTTGGTGTGTTAAAACTAGATTAAATTTACTACAAAATGGTTTTTAAATCATCTTAATATCTCAATTAGTCTTTGAGATATGATTCTTTTAAATTAAATTTTATAAATCTAACCTGTCATAAGTGAATTAAAAAAATCATAACTTCCAAATTTGTAGAATTAAAGAAATAATTTTTGATACATTAAATATTAATTAAATTTGCTTTAAAATGGTTTTTATTTCGTGGTGATATCTCAATTCGTTCTTGAGATATGATTTTTTTAATTTCATTTTTGACAAGTTAACCTCAATAACAACACCGAGTTGATTTAAAAATCTTATCACCGAGATTTATGGGAACGAAGGAATTATTTTTGGTGTGTTAAAACTAGATTAAATTTACTACAAAATGGTTTTTAAATCATCTTAAAATCTCAATTAGACTTTGAGATATGAGTGTTTGAAATTAAATTTTATAAATCTCACCTGTCATAAGTGAATTAAAAAAATCATAACTTCCAAATTAGTAGAATTAAAGAAATAATTTTTGATACATTAAATATTAATTAAATTTGCTTGAAAATGGTTTTTATTTCGCGGTGATATCTCAATTCGTTCTTGAGATATGATTTTTTTAATTTCATTTTTGACAAGTTAACCTCAATAACAACCCTGAGTTGAATTAAAAATCGTATCACCGGGATTTATAGGAACGAAAGAATTATTTTTGGTGTGCTAAAACTAGATTAAATTTACTACAAAATGGCTTTTAAATCATCTTAATATCTCAATTAGTCTTTGAGATATAATTCTTTGAAATTAAATTTTATAAATCTAACCTGTTTTAAGTGAATTAAAAAAATCATAACTTTCAAATTAGTAGAAATAAAGAAATAATTTTTGATACATTAAATATTAATTAAATTTGCTTTAAAATGGTTTTTATTTCGTGGTGATATCTCAATTCGTTCTTGAGATACGATCTTTTTAATTTCATTTTTGACAAGTTAACCTCAATAACAACACTGAGTTGATTTAAAAATCTTATCACCGAGATTTATAGGAACGAAGGAATTATTTTTGGTGTGTTAAAACTAGATTAAATTTACTACAAAATGGCTTTTAAATCATCTCAATATCTCAATTAGTCTTTGAGATATAATTCTTTAAAATTAAATTTTATAAATCTAACCTGTTTTAAATGAATTAAAAAAATCATAACTTCCAAATTTGTAGAAATAAAGAAATAATTTTTGACACATTGAATATTAATTAAATTTGCTTTAAAATGGTTTTTATTTCGTGGTGATATCTCAATTCATTCTTGAGATATGATTTTTTTAATTTCATTTTTGACAAGTTAACCTCAATAACAACACTGAGTTGATTTAAAAATCGTATCACCGGGATTTATAGGAACGAAGGAATTATTTTTGGTGTGTTAAAACTAGATTAAATTTACTACAAAATGGTTTTTAAATCATCTCAATATCTCAATTAGTCTTTGAGATATAATTCTTTGAAATTAAATTTTATANATTTAATATACATAACACATCATGATTCTTAAAAACACAATAGATATGATTTTTTGAAAATTTAGTATTTTCTTTGATCTATAAATTTGACAGTTTCTTCTTTAATCAGTTCTTTTTCGAAATTTCAATTATATTATCTTATTGTTTTTATATCACATCATAAAGCAGAATCTTTGAGCTTCAATTTAACATACATATCATATCATGATTCTTAAAAACACGGTAGATATGATTTTTTGAAAATTTAGTATTTTCTTTGATTTATAACTTTGACAGTTTCTCCTTTAATCAGTTTTTCTTGGAAATTTCAATAATATTATCTTATTGTTTTTATATCACATCATAAACTAGAATCTTTAAGCTTCANTTTTCGACCTTTTATAGGATTTAAAAGTTATCTCGACAAAAACCATCAATAAACCCATAAAAGTTCCTACTCCGAGTACCAAAAAAACTCCTCCAACGTTCTGCAAAGTTAATGCGGTGACAGCTCCTTTAGAAACAACACTCTAAATCAAAAAAGAATTAAATTAGATTAAAAAAATTTAAAATAGGTATGGGTAAAATTCTAGAATCATTATGTGGCTTAAAAATCAATGTGAAATGACCCAAAAAACACGTTAAAAATAAAAGAAATTGCGGAAAAGTATAGAACATACCGAAAAATCACATTAAAGTTTCGATGTGTCATCCTTTGTGACGTCACAAGCATTCTTAACCATGCATTTTCAAAATCAATATGATAAACTTAAAAGTAAAGTTATTTTCTCTAAACTAGGTGAGATTACAACGTATATTTTCGGATGAAACACCCTTGTTTTTCTTAGATTTATAAATTCAACAGTTTCTTCTTTAATAAGTTTTTCTTGGAAATTTTAATAATATTATCTTATTGTTTTTATATCACATCATAAACTAGAATCTTTAAGCTTCAATTTAACATACATATCATATCATGATTTCTAAAAACACAGTAGATATGATTTTTTAAAAATTCTGTATTTTCTGTGATTTATAAATTTAACAGTTTTTTCTTTAATAAGTTTTTCTTGGAAATTTCAATAATATTACCTTATTGTTTTTATATCACATCATAAACTAGAATCTTTAAGCTTCAATTTAACATACATAACATATCATGATTCTTAAAAACACAGTAGATATGATTTTTTAAAAATTCAGTATTTTCTGTGATTTATAAATTTAACAGTTTTTTCTTTAATAAGTTTTTCTTGGAAATTTCAACACTATTACCTTATTGTTTTTATATCACATCATAAACTAGAATCTTTAAGCTTCAATTTAATATACATATCATATCATGATTCTTAAAAGCACAGTAGATATGATTTTTTGAAAATTCAGTATTTTCTTTGATTTATAAATTTAACAGTTTCTTCTTTAATAAGTTTTTCTTGGAAATTTCAATACTATTACCTTATTGTTTCTATATCACATCATAAACTAGAATCTTTAAGCTTTAATTTAACATACATATCATATCATGATTCTTAAAAACACAGTAGATATGATTTTTTGAAAATTCAGTATTTTCTTTGATTTATAAATTTAACAGTTTTTTCTTTAATAAGTTCTTCTTGGAAATTTCAATACTATTACCTTATTGTTTTTATATCACATCATAAACTAGAATCTTTAAGTTTCAATTTAACATACATATCATNATATCACATTATAAAGCAGAATCTTTGAGCTTCAATTTAACATACATATCATATCATGATTCTTAAAAACATAGTAGATATGATTTTTTGAAAATTTAGTATTTTCATTGATCTATAAATTTAAGTTTCTTCTTTAATAGGGTTTTCCTGGAAATTTCAATAATATTATCTTATCGTTTTTATATCACATCATAAACTAGAATCTTTAAGCTTCAATTTAACATACATATCATATCATAATTCTTAAAAACACGGTAGATATGATTTTTTGAAAATTTAGTATTTTCTTTGATTTATAACTTTGACAGTTTCTTCTTTAGTAAGATTTTCTTGGAAATATCAATAATATTATCTTATTGTTTTTATATCACATCATAAATCAGAATCTTTAAGCATCAATTTAACATACATAACACATCATGATTCTTAAAAACACAATAGATATGATTTTTTGAAAATTTAGTATTTTCTTTGATCTATAAATTTGACAGTTTCTTCTTTAATCAGTTCTTTTTCGAAATTTCAATTATATTATCTTATTGTTTTTATATCACATCATAAAGCAGAATCTTTGAGCTTCAATTTAACATACATATCATATCATGATTCTTAAAAACANGGTTTTTATTTCGTGGTGATATCTCAATTCGTTCTTGAGATATGATTCTTTAATTTCATTTTTGACAAGTTAACCTCAATAACAATACTGAGTTGATTTAAAAATCTTATCACCGGGATTTATAGGAACGAAGGAATTATTTTTGGTGTTTTAAAACTAGATTAAATTTACTACAAAATGGCTTTTAAATCATCTTAATATCTCAAATAGTCTTTGAGATATGATTCTTTGAAATTAAATTTTATAAATCTAACCTGTCATTAGTGAATTAAAAAAATCATAACTTCCAAATTTATAGAAATAAAAAACTAATGTTTGATACATTAAATATTAATTAAATTTGTTTTAAAATGGTTTTTATTTCGTGGTGATATCTCAATTCGTTCTTGAGATATGATTTTTTTAATTTCANTATATCACATCATAAACTAGAATCTTTAAGCTTCAATTTAACATACATATCATATCATGATTCTTAAAAACACAGTCGATATGATTTTTTGAAAATTTAGTATTTTCTTTGATTTATAAATTTAACAGTGTTTTCTTTAATAAGTTTTTCTTGGAAATTTCAATACTATTACCTTATTGTTTTTATATCACATCATGAACTAGAATCTTTAAACTTCAATTTAACATACATATCATATCACGATTCTTAAAAACACAATAGATATGATTTTGTGAAAATTTGGTATTTTCCTTGATTGATAAATTTGACAGTTTCTTCTTTAATAAGGTTTTCTTGGAAATTTCAATACTATTACCTTATTGTTTTTATATCATATCATAAACTAGAATCTTTAAGCTTCAATTTAACATACATATCATATCATGATTCTTAAAAACACAGTAGATATGATTTTTTGAAAATTTAGTATTTTCTTTGATTTATAAATTTGACAGTTTCTTCTTTAATCAGTTCTTTTTCGAAATTTCAATTATATTATCTTTAAAGCAGAATCTTTGAGCTTCAATTTAACATACATATCATATCATGATTCTTAAAAACATAGTAGATATGATTTTTTGAAAATTTAGTATTTTCTTTGATCTATAAATTTAAGTTTCTTCTTTAATAGGGTTTTCCTGGAAATTTCAATAATATTATCTTATTGTTTTTATATCACATCATAAACTAAAATCTTTAAGCTTCAATTTAACATACTTATCATATCATGATTCTTAAAAACACAATATATATCATTTTTTGAAAATTTAGCATTTCTTCGATTTATAAATTTGACAGTTTTTTCTTTAATAACGTTTTCTTGGAAATTTCAATAACATTATCTTATTGTTTTTATATCACATCATAAACTAGAATCTTTAAGCTTCAATTTAACATACATATCATATCATGATTCTGAAAAACACAGTACATATGATTTTTTCACGACAATTACAAATATGTTAATATTGACGTTGACATTCCTAACCGGAAGTTGACCATAACTTCATTAATATAGTGTTTGTTCTCATTTTAAAGGATTTTTAATGAAGATTACAAATATGTTAAAATTGAGGTTGACATTTTAAACCTGAAGTAAATTATCATATAATAGATGGACAATTTCATGGTGTTCTTTCATGATATATTCTTTATTAAAAATCTTTAAAATGAGTCCAAACTAACACAAGACCTAGTGACGTCACGTCGAAACTTTAAAGTGATACTTCGTTAAGTTTTACACTTTTCCGCACTTTTTTTTATTTGTACGGGTTTACTTGAGTGATTTCTCGTTGATTAAATAAAAATTGTCGATTTTTAGCAACATAATAATTCTTGAATTATAGCAAAATATGTTTCTTACATCGCAATCTCCACTGTTTTTCTCTTTCCACCACTTAATTTTTAACGAGGTGATTTTCCCATTTTCTTTCAACTTTAAAATAGCCGAATTCAATAACTGCCTCGGTAGATATGATTTTTTGAAAATTTAGTATTTTCTTTGATTCATGGATTTGACAGTTTCTTCTTTAATAAGCTTTTCTTCGAATTTTTAATAATATTATCTTATTGTTTTTATATCACATCATAAACTAGAATCTTTAAGCTTCAATTTAACATACATATCATATCATGATTCTTAAAAACACAGTAGATATGATTTTTTGAAAATTTAGTATTTTCTTTGATTTATAAATTTGACAGTTTCTTCTTTAATAAGTTTTTCTTGGAAATTTCAATACTATTACCTTATTGTTTTTATATCACATCATAAACTAGAATGTTAAAGCTTCAACTTAACATACATATCATATCATCATTCTTAAAAACACAGTAGATATGATATTTTTAAAATTCAGTATTTTCTGTGATTTATAAATTTAACAGTTTTTTCTTTAATAAGTTTTTCTTGGAAATTTTAATAATATTGTCTTATTGTTTTTATATCACATCATAAACCAGAATCTTTAAGCTTCAATTTAACATACATATCATATCATGATTCTTAAAAACACAGTAGATATGATTTTTTGAAAATTTAGTATTTTCTTTGATCTATAAATTTGAAGGTTTCTTCTTTAATCAGTTTTTTTTCGAAATTTTAATAATATTATCTTATTGTTTTTATATCACATCATAAACTAGAATCTTTAAGCTTCAATTTAACATACATATCATATCATGACGATATTACTGATGCAATGTTAACCATGCATTTTCAAACTCAATATGATAAACTTAAAAATAAAATTATTTTCTCTAAAAATTGTCGATTTTTAAGCAACATAATAATTCTTGAATTATACCAAAATATGTTTCGTACATCGCAATCTCCACTGTTTTTCTCTTTCCACCACTTAATTTTTAACGAGGTGATTTTCCCATTTTCTTTCAACTTTAAAATAGCCGAATTCAANTGATTCTTTGAAATTAAATTTTATAAATCTAACCTGTCATTAGTGAATTAAAAAAATCATAACTTCCAAATTTATAGAAATAAAAAACTAATGTTTGATACATTAAATATTAATTAAATTTGTTTTAAAATGGTTTTTATTTCGTGGTGATATCTTAATTCGTTCTTGAGATATGATCTCTTTAATTTCATTTTTGACAAGTTAACCTTAGTAACAACACTGAGTTGATTTAAAAATCTTATCACCGAGATTTATAGGAACCAAGGAATTATTTTTAGTGTGTTAAAACTAGATTAAATTTACTACAAAATGGGTTTTAAATCATCTTAATATCTCAATTAGTCTTTGAGATATAATTCTTTAAAATTAAATTTTATAAATCTAACCTGTTTTAAGTGATTTAAAAAAATCATAACTTCCAAATTTGTAGAATTAAAGAAATAATTTTTGATACATTAAATAATTAATTAAATTTGCTTTAAAATGGTTTTTATTTCGTGGTGATATCTCAATTCGTTCTTGAGATATAATTTTTTTAATTTCATTTTTGACAAGTTAACCTCAATAACAACACTGAGTTGATTTAAAAATCGTAACACCGGGATTTATAGGAACGAAGGAATTATTTTTGGTGTGCTAAAACTAGATTAAATTTACTACAAAATGGCTTTTAAATCATCTTAATATCTCAATTAGTTTTTGAGTTATAATTCTTTGAAATTAAATTTTATAAATCTAACCTGTCATAAGTGAATTAAAAAAATCATAACTTCCAAATTTGTAGAAATAAAGAAATAATTTTTGATACATCAAATATTAATTAAATTTGCTTTAAAATGGTTTTTATTTCGTGGTGATATCTCAATTCGTTCTTGAGATATGATCTTTTTAATTTCATTTTTGACAAGTTAACCTCAATAACAACATTGAGTTGATTTAAAAATCTTATCACCGAGATTTATAGAAACGAAGGAATTATTTTTGGTGTGTTAAAACTAGATTAAATTTACTACAAAATGGCTTATAAATCATCTTAATATCTCAATTAGTCTTTGAGATATGATTGTTTTAAATTAAATTTTATAAATCTAACCTGTTTTAAGTGAATTAAAAAAATCATAACTTCTAAATTAGTAGAAATAAAGAAATAATTTTTGATACATTAAATATTAATTAAATTTGCTTTAAAATGGTTTTTATTTCATGGTGATATCTCAATTCGTTCTTGAGATATGATCTTTTTAATTTCATTTTTGACAATTTAACCTCAATTACAACACTGAGTTGATTTAAAAATATCATCACCGGGATTTATAGGAACGAAGGAATTATTTTTGGTGGGCTAAAACTAGATTAAATTTACTACAAAATGGCTTTTAAATCATCTTAATATCTCAATTAGTCTTTGAGATATGATTTTTTTAATTTTATATTTATTATTTTAGATGACGTCTTGGTTTATTTTGCTTTCAATTACGATTTAGTCGAAAACAACGGTGAGAAATACGTTAATTTTACNTAAAAATTGTCGATTTTTAGCAACATAATAATTCTTGAATTATAGCAAAATATGTTTCTTACATCGCAATCTCCACTGTTTTTCTCTTTCCACCACTTAATTTTTAACGAGGTGATTTTCCCATTTTCTTTCAACTTTAAAATAGCCGAATTCAATAACTGCCTGTATTTGGCTTCCTTTTTCATCGCTATTCCATACCCTTTATCGTCGAGTCTTTGTCCAACTTGAGTTAAAGAACAATTCTTCTCCATAACGTACTCAATGGACGTCGACTCCATAAGAAAAGCGTAATTTTCGTTCTCAACCTTCCAAACGCCGTCCTCGTTATCGTTCGTCATCAGATCTTGATTGTTCATCATATAACTATAAACGCTTTTGTGAATGTCTCGTTTTGAGTCTCGGAAAAAATTTACTGTTGCGCCGTTTGCTTTAGCCCCGTATTTAATTTCTTTTTGTGTCGCCAATTCTTCGATATTTTTGAATGGGGTTACCAAAGTTTCTACGGTTAAAAAAGCGGCTAAATTAGCCGTGTATGATGAAACCATGATTAATGTAAAGAACCACCATACTCCTGCTAACATTCTTGTTGATATTCCACTAAAAATTAAAAATAGTTATTTATGTACCAAATCAGCAAAGACGACTGAATTTTAAAGTGCGATAAAAAAGAATATATAATTTCCCGTTAAATGCCAAACTATTTTTTAGATTTAATTGGTTTCGCATAATTAAGTTTATATTTTAAAATTTATAGAGATTTTAACCTAAAAACTAATTTCAATTTGTATTGACAGTTCACTGACGTTAAATATCTGACAATGAGTATCATCAGCGCCATCTAGTTAAATTCTATGTAAAATAAAATAATACAAATAATTAAGATTTAATACCTCTAATTGAATATTTTGTTAATATTTTTCTTAGTTGTTTATCATTTTCTTAATTTATATCGTTAATTACATATTAATTGCAAATTAATTTCAAAATTTGTATAAATTTTATTTTGGTTTGATAATTTTATTTATTTACGGTTGGTATGGTTAATCATTTTTGACTTTGACAGTTTTGTAGTGCGAATTTTCATTTGAAAACGATGATGCGTAATAATTCATCGGGATTATGATGAGTGGTAAGTTATAAAATCATTTTTATCGCAATTTCCATCATTTTAATAATTACATTGGTGCTATTTCAGTTCCTTGTTGCATCAAGCTTCCGATTGCAAACCAAAGACTATTTTTCAAACTAAACTGATTGGTTAAGTGATCAGGATCTTCAGTGCATGGATAAGGATTAATCCACTCCGCCGGAGATAACCTGCCCAAAACGAATAAACTAAAAGAGACGCAGAGGTAAGAGACTCCCAACAACAACCAAACTTCACCAGAAAATGGAGATGTAAACATAAATAAACTAGGAGGAACCGGTTTTGGTTTTCGATATAGAATCCCAATACCCAAAGTCATAAACGGTAAGGTAAAATCAACAGCTTCTTCTCGTTCTGAAGTAATTGTTAAATCGCCGATTGCAAGGTCGGCTTCTCCCGATAAAACAGCGCCGACCATTCCGGTCCATTTTCTCCTTTTCCGGTCGTAATTACCATTGGCCCGGTCCTTTTGCAAGGTGAACGTGTAATTAAACCCCAACATCAAAGATAATTCGTGGATTAGATCGATGCCGAACCCTTCGAAACGATCGTTTCCGTATAATTGTGTGGTCGTGTCTTTTAGTTGTCCGTAAGGTGGTGTCTAAGTGACTTAAAAAAGTTTTTTAAGGTTCAAAAATTTGAGATGTGATGGTTAAATTTAGTTACCAGGACAGTTATGATAGTAAATGATTTGTTTCTTAATGAATTTTCATCGGATTGTTGATCTTTGTTTTCTTGTTTGCGAGTTATCCGAAGTTTCTTTTCGAGGTAGTTGTAATAACCGACTGTTATCCAATTTATTTCGTTTAATTCAATAAGTTGTACGTCAAAGTTTGTACGAAATCCTTTTGAATCTAATCGAACAGGTCCGGTTAATCCATCTATTTCTTTCTGTTTGAATCATAATTAATTTAAACTAAGATTAGAACTAAAACTAGAAACTTTCGGGTTTTGCCGTGCGTCTTTTAATAAAAGGTTTGACGTTTCGGATGCCATGTTGCAACCTTCTTCAGAAACTGGTTCGAAGTGACGAGATCAAAAAATCGGTAACTATATATAAGTCGGAAAAAACTAATTAATAATCAGTTAACGCTAATTACAAACTAATTAAT